CCTCTGGGGGTGGTGCGCCTAGTTCTTCTGAGGTGGACTCTGGAGCTGCCGCTGCTTCGGACACTACTCCACCCCCCCACCCCTACCCGACTAGGCACCAGGCTCGTGTTCGCCGTGCCCGTGACGAGCAGCTGGCGTTGGAGAGAGAGGAGAGGGAGTTACAGCGGCTGGAGGAGCAGCAGCAGCAGCTGGAGCCGCAGGAGCAGCAGCAGCAGCAGCAGCAGCTGGACCCGCAGGAGCAGCAGTCCCAGCAGCAGCCGCGTCCGCAGCAGCAGCAGTCGCAGCCGCAGCAGCAGCAGCCATTTCCTCCTCCTGTCTCGGGTCTTCGGATCCTTGGTCTCCCCTCCCCTTCTCCTCCCTCCTCCGCCTCTCCTCCTGTCTACGGTCCCACGTTTCCTCCTCCTGACTCCTCCCCCGCTGTTTTCCCCAGTTCTCCGCCTTTGTCCTCTCCTCCTCCGTCTCGTTCTTGGACTACTCGTCGCTCCCCTCGTGCTCGTCCCTCGTCTCCTGTTCCCTTCACTGACCTTCGTACTGCCTTCCTTCTTTCTAGTCCACCTCGTCCGTCTCAGTCTGTGCTTCCGTCTCCTCCTGAGTCGGCCCTCACTGTGTTGCTCCCTACTCCTGTCACTGACTACTACCGCACGTACCGTCCTGTTCTCTCTCGTGTTCTCGCCTCTCTTGTTACTCACCCTCGTGCCTCTGTGTCCTCTGTGTCCGCTCTTACTGCCGCAGTTACTGACTTTGCCTCTACCCGTCGCCTTGACTACGCCACCACGCTTGTGGCTGCTCCTCCTACCAGTCCTCTGGCCGTCGGGGGTGTGTCTGCCCTTGGCTGTGACGCCCTAGAGGACAGGCAGTTTGAGCTAGAGTTCCTGGCGGCCGCTTCCCCTCATCTCTGTGCCATGCTCCTCGCCCCTGAGGGTGACCCCGACGCCCTTGACATTCCGACTCCTCGCACTTACGCTGAGGCAGTGTCAGGGCCTTGGGCCTCTCAGTGGAGAGCTACCATGGACGCAGAGATGGCCTCCTACAGATCCACAGGCACCTACGTCGATGAGGTTCCCCCCCCCTGGGGCGAACGTAGTCGACGGCATGTGGATCTACAGGGTGAAGCGGCCACCGGGATCTCCCCCGGTCTTCAAGGCGCGCTACGTGGCTAGAGGTTTCAGTCAGCGCGAGGGAGTTGACTTCTTTCAGACCTTCGCACCTACCCCGAAGATGACCACTCTTCGGGTGTTACTACACGTAGCAGCACAGAGAGACTACGAGTTACACTCTCTTGACTTCTCCACTGCTTTCCTTCAGGGCAGTCTACACGAGGAGGTCTGGTTGCGTCGTCCCTCGGCCTTCACTGGCATTTTCCCTCCTGGGACCCAGTGGAGGCTGAGGCGACCTGTTTACGGTCTTCGCCAGGCCCCTCGTGAGTGGCACGACACTCTGCGTTCTACCCTCTCTGACCTTGGGTTCCAGCCGTCTTCTGCCGACCCGTCGCTGTTCGTTCGTCGTGGCTCCACACCGTTCTTTGCTCTGGTCTACGTCGACGACCTCGTTTTCGCCACTTCGGACAGGGTTGCTTTGGCAGACGTGAAGTCCAAACTGCAGAAGAGACACACGTGCACTGATCTTGGTGAGCTGCGCCACTACCTTGGCCTGCAGATCACCAGGGACAGAGCCGCTCGCACCATTACACTCTCACAGTCACACATGGTGCAGCAGGTCCTTCAGCGGTTCGGGCTTCAGCACTCCACCGTACAGCGCACACCTCTAGCTGTTGACCACAGACTCACTGGTCCCTTTCCTGACGAGCCGTTTGAGCCTAGTGGTCCCTACGCAGAGCTTGTGGGTTGCCTCATGTACCTGATGACTTGTACTCGCCCGGACCTCGCCTTCCCTCTCAGCATCCTTGCGCGCTTTGTTGCGCCAGGGAGACACCGTCCTGTTCACTGGACAGCAGCTGTGAGGGTGGCGAAGTACCTAGCGACTACATCAGGCGTGGGGCTAGTTCTTGGAGGGCAGCAGTCTGTCGTACTCACTGGTCACTGTGACTCCTCTTACGCTGACAACGCTGAGACTCACAGGTCTACTCAGGGGTACTGTTTCAGTCTGGGTTCTGGAGCTGTTTCCTGGCGTTCCACGCGCTCCTCTTCTGTCTCGACCTCTACAGCTGAGGCTGAGATTTACGCTGGTGCCATGGCGGCACAGGAGTTGCGGTGGTTGACCTTCTTGCTCGCCGACCTTGGTGAGCGGCCGAGCTCTGCACCGACCTTGTTTACTGACAACAAGGCGTCGATCCTCCTCTGTCGTGAGCCGCGACTGGAGAGCAGAGTGAAGCACATTCACGTCAGGTACTTTCTTCTGCGAGAGTTGCAGAGGCGTGGACAGGCTCGCTTCGAGTTTGTAGAGTCCGAGGCCAACACTGCAGACATCTTCACCAAGGCGCTTCCGCCTTGTGACCACCAGAGGTGTTGTGTGCAGTTAGGCCTTGTTGACACAGGTTCTAGTCATGCGTAGACTTGAGTTTATTGCCTGCTTCGTCTGTACACTGACAATATATACTTGTGATCTCTTGGACTGGCCTTGTGGCCACTGTTGCTTGTGCTCAGAGTGTGTGGTGACGTTGTGATCCACCCTGAGCTTTGTTTTCTTTTGGACTGGTCTTGTGACCGTACTCTTTTTTTTGTTTTTGCTAGACACCCCTCACTTAGGCTATGGGGGTGTGTCAAATGTTGTAGCCTGTAGTGAGGTTTGTCTTAGGGGGTACAGAAGTTAGGGTTTGTCATAGGTACCCCAACCAACATCAATGCAACCATCCATTCTTCATTCTGACAAAATGAGACTCGGATGCAAAATTTGACATTGACCAATCACAACTAGCCATACTACAATACAAGAAGCCACGACATTGACCTTTGTGCTTGTTTGAAAAGTTCCTATGTTTGTTCGAAGCGCTGAACTCAACAGGCGAAAATCGCGATGGGTTGTGACTGGCGTTACTGGTGTACATTTGAGATGGCGAAGGGAAAACCATCGCGGAACCCTAGCATGTGGAAAAAGTGTCACATCTGCATTCGTACCGTCCGAAGTTGCAAACATTCAAATCGGACAGTCCGTTTCGTTATAAACGTACCGTCTGATTCCATATAATCGGACGGTACGTCAAAATCACAAAATGCAAAATGGTTACACGCCCTCAGATCTTGTAAAGACCCCATTCACAACAATAATTCCAATGTGATGCCAGACAAGCGTTCTGTTCTGAGGGCGCGGGACACACAAACACAAGTGACGCGACGCGAGGCAATCGAATGTCCTCGATATGGACAGTCTCTATCGCAAGAATCTGACAACAACAATTGCTGGTGATTCCCTTGCATGCAGCCACTATTGGTGACTTCGCCAAAATATCTCCAAGATCGCTTATTGGTTCAAATACGGTACAAACAAGGTTAGAATGTTGTGTAATGATATAATCTGGTATAGCTACGAACAGCAAAATCGAAAATGGTTGATCACGCTCCTAAGTGATGGTGCTGACAGTAGTGAAAACTAGAGTGAATTGATGGAAGCCACCAGAAACAAAGGTCAAAAACAGGGTCATCTCTATGATTTGAAACCACGTGTAGAATTGCATCAAGATCCAGAAACAAATATTTAGATGGGTAAAACAAAGATTACAACAAACCTAGAAAGAGAAAACAAGGGGAGGGGGGAGAAGGGGAGAAGTGGGGGTGCGAACAGGAGAAATCTAACCAGCCCGGACAGGGAGGGTCTGATAACACGCAGTGTTCAGGGTTCTCGCTAGGTTTTGGGGCTGTCTGACAGTACCCTGAAAAAATTTTCCCCCGTCTTATGGTCGGACGACGAAACTTCCGTGGTCTGCCTTATAAGCTGAAATAATATTTCTAGTCTGATAAATAAGACGAAAAAAATTTTCCTGTTAAAAGTCAACCTACTGTGGCTGTGGCACAACGGGACAACGCGTTGCCGTGGCTGTGGCTGGCGTCGGCGCCGACAGCCAGCCACACGACAAACTCCTGGCAGCGAGGCTGCCATAATGAATGCGCGCATTCATTACGCGCATTCATTACGCGCATTCATTACATGACACGCGTAATGAATGCGCGTGCGCATTCAGGGCAACAAATGGCTGTACCTGTGGTCCTATCCTCTGGTCCACTGGGCATATGGCCTAGTGGGTCAAGATGTCGGTTTCAGACGAAACCGAACTCGATATCTGTGTTCTCAGATGAAGAATTCTACACGTCTGGAAAAATCATACGAACCTAAAAGTCAAATCTTACTGATCAGATGAGAACAAACACAAAATCTTAGGATTAAGATGAATACTAAAAATCAAGTCTTAAACTCAGACCATCAGACCAAATTGGTCTGATAACGAGAACCCTGGCAGTGTTGCTATGCTACCAGATTGGTTGCTTCTGTTCTTCTTGAGAACTTGCCAGCTATCCTGCCTGGCACCTGCTCAACGACCTTCCCGAGAACAGTTCACAAACCGCCTCCCTACCCTAACCTGTCTGAGAAGCACAACAACAGCAACCAATCCATGTCCCTACGCAATACGTCCCTCAACTCTTCTCAGATGTGGCGACTGATTTGGCTTGGCGCAAGTAGAGGAATAGGATGGTACGGAGTTGCCACCGCTGGAAGATTCTGGAGTTTAGTTGGGAGATTCTGACGTGTAGATAGGAGAATCTGACGCGTTGCTGGAAGAGTCTGAAACGTAGCTAGGAGGAATTTCTGACACGTAGTTGGAAGGTCCTGAAACGTTGCTGGAAGAATCTGAAATGTCGCTTGAAGATTCTGCAACGTTGCTGGAAGATTCTGAAGCGTCGCTTGAAGGTGTTGTGGTGGACGAAGCTGTGGTGGTGCCGGACGGGGTTGTGGTGGTGCCGGACGGGGTTGTGGAGGTGCCGGACGGGGTTGTGGAGGTGCCGGACGGGGTTGTGGTGGTGCCGGACGGGGTTGTGGTGGTGCCGGACGGGGTTGTGGTGGTGCCGGACGGGGTTGTGGTGGTGCCGGACGGGGTTGTGGTGGTGCCGGGTTTTGCTGCTGGCACACAGGTGGCACCGACTGCATTGTAGCCCGACTTACACTTGCACTCCATTCCAGTGCCACTGGTGCGTTTGGCACACTCGGAGTTGGCAGGGCAGCCTGCAGTGAGGCACGAGGGTTCTGCAGCAGAGGCAAGGAGAGAGAGAGGGAGGCCAGGTGAGCACATGGGTCCATCCGGACAAGGAAGCATTCAGAGAGAGCAGAGCATGCGAGGGAGGGCGGAGGAGGAGAGAGTTGCGGCAACGAGACCATGCTGAGCAGAGCGAAACCATACGAAGCTCACTGGGAGGCTGGCATTTGTTGTTGACCGCGCTGTAGCCTTTCTTGCACGCGCACGTCACTGCCGTGCGGTCGTCCGTGGGTGGGGTGCATGTGTCAGAGCCGGCAGGGCAGCGCGCATACAGACACATGTTGTCTGCCGCACAGCGCCGTGCGGACCGGGGGAAAGGGGGAACGGGGAAGGGGGGAAAGGGGGAAGGCGAAAGAAGAGATGAGGCGCGGCAGCCTGCCACCCACTCGCGTCGTGCGCTCTGCAGCGCAGCGAACTGGACTGTGCAGTGAGAGCGCGAGGCCAGCGAGCGAGAGAGAGAGAGAGAGAGAGAGAGAGAGAGAGAGAGAGAGAGAGAGAGAGAGAGAGAGAGAGAGAGAGAGAGAGAGAGAGAGAGAGAGAGAGAGAGGGCGGCATCTCGCGAGAGGCGGGCGCGAGAGAGGGCAAGAGGGGACGCACGCACCTATGAGGCAGAGGGCGGACCTCGGTGCACCGGAGATGCGCTTCTCACTGCACACAGGGGGAGGGAGGGCGCCGCGAGTGCAACGATCGTTGGTCAGGTGGGGGAGCAAACGAGCGGCATCAAGAAAGCATAGGAGCATGGAAGCAAGGCGAGCAAGAATGGAAGGCGCACCTCTGTTGGCCATTCGCGAAAACTTCTGTCCTTTGTCTTTTGCACGCGGGATCCTGGAAGAACCGGATCGCGCGGCACACAGCCTTGCCAGACATGCTTGCTTGTTTCCACTGCACCACCACCCGCGTCGTCTGAGAAGGCGACATGGCATGAAAGGTGACACATCGGTGCGACAAGAAGGTTATTCCGCGCCCGTAGATCGCCATCGTCGTGCCAATCGGCACTAGGACCGATACGCTCGCTGCTGCTTGCGACTGCTGCGGGAGACACGCTGCAAGGGAGCGGCATGTGGCATGGGAGGGGCACGGACGAAGGAGCGAGTTCGTTGGGCATCCATCGCGTGTGCGCGCTGTCGAGTGGTGCATTCAACGCATGACGGCGTGAGCACGATGGCGCATGAGAGCGCGGGGCGAGAGAGCGGAGCAAATGACGGAGCGTACCGGCGATGACGGCGACGATGGCGAGCAGGGCATGCACGGCCTTGCCATTCCCCATGCTGCTGATTCCGGCGGACGCCATTCGCTCTTCGACCTTGATCGCCACGAGCAATCCGAGAGCAGGAGTGGAGCAGGAGTGTGCAGCGGAGCAACCCGAGAGAAAGAGGTGCTAGAGGAGTGATTGGTGCTAACTGGTGTAAAGCAGAAGAGGTGACGAGAACGATCGGGCACGGATGCTTAAATGCTCATCGCAGCGAGCCTACTAGCGTGCGGCGCATCATCCGCTCCACGGAGCTCCTGTGCGAGGCTGGAGGGACCTCTGTGGCGGGACGCAGCCCGCGACGGGTGCGGCAAAGCCTTGGCCATGTGCGACCGCTGCGACAGGAGCCGCTGCAGGGAACGCGTTGCTTTAGGCGCCATCGTGGGCTTCGACTGGGCGTTTCCTGGCTGTGTGCGAAAGCAAAAACGACTGGGATGAAGAATCGCGTCACAAGGATTTATTGGAGGAAAAGTCAGACACCTCACAGTAAGGGCCCATTCATTGTCAGGTTCTCTTCTAAGGTCCGGATGAGGAGACCTCGCCAAAATTCTGCCAGTCCTCTCACGAGCATTTGCGAAACCCGTAAACTTACTGACGTCCGGACCCTGGCTCTGTTCGGATGGAATGGTCTGGGGGTGTTCCCACCCCTCGGACCCAAGTTCACCCCGCACAAATGGGAGTGTTGTGAGGAGGAACGCGTTGGAGTGGCATGGTTTGTGGAGAAGTGAAGAGGAATGGAAAGTTGGCAAAGAAAAGTTTAGCCCATGAACGGTGTTGTACGCGGTGGAATCAGATGTGTAAAACTGAAAAAACGCCTTACATATGGGCTCAATACATCATTACAAGCACTCCATAAAACACACCGGATTCTGAAGGATCACACCACGGCGAGGATTGTAACAGCTCTATCGGGTCCATCACACACCACGAAAGCCTTGCCTGCAATGCTCTCCGCCTTCTCCGCCATCTGGCGGCCATGGATTCTGACGAGCTTGAACAAGTCAACGTCCTCGCTACAATGCACGCCGAGTTCTGATCTTCTTAACAGTATCGTCTTTAACATTCGAAATGGAAGTCTGGTAATTTATGCTGACCTCAGTCTCTCCAGTTATCAGGCGACAAGCATCAGGCTCAGCCATGCATTCCCAAGGCCGTGTTACCTTCAAGTTAATTACCATGTTAATTTCAGCGTATCGTCAACTTCCATTATCGCTGTATCTCCCACCATCATTAAAGCCCGTAGCTAAAATAGTGACCCCCCCGTTCTAGTTGGGTCCAGCTTGATTACTCAAGTTTTTTTGCATTGTTTTGGAAAGTTATAAGTGCTGCGATCAGAAGTTGATCGTAGCCCAGGATCTGCTCTGGAAGGTTCGCTTAAAGAAAGGTAGTGTTGGTGGGCCCTTGATCTCAAATGGCAGAGTGAATGTAAAATGCTTGAGATGATCAAAACATGCAGGTACAGGAAATATAAATATGAGTACAGGGGAGTCGAAACGACCTAGCTAGCCATGTACTCTAAGTGGTACATTCCCTTATTCAGATATATTCTTAACTGTGCGGCTCGTACAGTTTCGTAACTGTTCCCGCCAAAACCATCCTGCCTGCAGCTGCCCGGTGCTGTCTCCTCTGACGGTCCAGATATCCTGTAACCGTTCGACGCTTCGATTCAGTTCCAAGCGTCTGACGCTTCGCGTTCATTTCCGGTATTGCGTGTTCCTTTTGCTGCGGCGAGGAGTGCTTAGTAATATCAAATATGACTATTCGTAACACCCCCCTTCACTCCTGGCCGTGGCTCGAATTGACCTGCTTGACCACACCGCTGAGTTCGGAGCAGTGCTGATACTGCTGGCGTGGCAGTCGCTTTGTGAGGAAGTCTGCTGCCATGTCACCTGTTGGGCAGTAGGTCAAGTTGACCTTGCCTTTGTCCACTTCGTCCTTCACGAAGAAGTACCGCAGCGCAATGTGTTTGGTGCGGTTAACGAAAACGGGCTTGTTCGCGATGCGGATCGTGCTCTGGTTGTCGCAGTGAAGGCGAAATGTGGGCGAAGCTGGAATTTTCGCTTCTTGCAGGAGTTTCTGCAGGTAGAGGCCTTCGCGAACTGCTGCGGTTGCTGCGATGAATTCCGCTTCGGCTGATGACAGGGCAACCAACTCTTGCTTCTGTGAGTTCCAGGAGATTGTTCCCGTAGGCTCGAGTCGGAACAGGGACCCAATCCTGGAACGTCGATTATCGGGATCTGCTGCGTGATCGGCGTCCACATAGCCGATGAGATTGAAGGATGGGGTTGGCGCAGTTGAGTAACGCAGTCCAATCTTGGGCGTTGAAACGAAGTATTGGAGGGCGCGCTGCAGGTCAAGAAGATTTTCAGCCGTTGGTTTGCGTGAGTACTGCGCCAGCTGACTTGCGATGTACGAGAGGTCTGGACTGCAGGTGAGAGAGGCGAAGAGGAGGCATCCCAACTGCTGCTGGTAAGTCTGGATCCCAGCAGGGGATAGGGCTTTGTTGTCGGGTTTGTGGTTCGGTCCGGGGGTTCGGTAGGGAGTTGAGAGAGGTGCAGGTGAAATGTTGAGCCGCTTCCCTAACTCCTCTGCGTACTTAGCCGCTGAAAGGTGAATGGCTTCAGGCGCGTAGGTGATGTTGAGGCCTAGGAACTGCTTCACCTCGTAGTTGCATGTGATGTCGACGCGCCCCGCCAGAGCCTTCTCGAACTGATGGAGGAGCTCGTTGTTTGAGCCTGGGTAAAGCAGATCGTTGACGTATACAGTGAGGAGGATGTATTCGCCGCGAAAATCGTGGTGGTACATCCCTAGATCGTGTGGCATTTGCTTGAACCCGATTTCAAGCAGGATGTTGTGCAGGTACTGCTGCCACAGCCTTGGAGCCTGCTTGATGCCGTAGAGTGACTTGCGCAGCTGACATACGCGCGAGTCTCCTTCGCCGTAGGTGTGTGGCTGCTCCACGTAGATCACGGCGTCTACTAACGCGTACAGGAACGCGTTCTTCACGTCTATCTGACGTAGTGGCAGGTGCCTTGCAGCTGCGATGGCGAGCAGGATGCGGACGGAGGTGTGGCGGCTGACTGGGGCGAATATCTGGTCGAAGTCGACCCCATGCCTCTGGTCATAGCCGCGAACCACCCAACGCGCCTTGAAGCGCTCGATCGTCCCATCCGCTGCGGTTTTTACGCGGAAGACCCATTTCCCCGAGAGGATTCTTGCGCCCTTGATCGCTGCGCGGTCGACGAGCACCCAGGTATCGCGCGACTCCAGTGCCTTGATTTCCGCGTCCATCGCCTCACGCCACTCCTTGCTGTGTGGTCCAGAGAGTGCTTTGCGCGGGTTTCGGGGCTCGATGATGCGTGGTGCCTTCGAGGTTGCGGTGTGAAGCCCGAGAAGCTGCAGCCCTGAGATGGTGCTGTCGTGGCGACGTTCCGGGATGACCTCCTGCACATCATCGTCATCGCTCTCCAGTTCAGGTGCTTGCGGTGTCGCGCCTCTGCCGCTTCCGCCTGTTCTGCTTCCGCCTGTTCCGCCTATTCCTCCTCCTAAGGAATCATCGTCGTCGTCGTCGTCGCTGCGCCGATTTTCCCACGCGAATTCCCCCCTTGTGTCCTGCTCGAAGATTGCTGCAGCGGCTTCGTCTTCGGGTGTTGCGTAGCTGTGGCCGTCGTTGGCGTAGACCCGATTTGCATTCGTCTGCTCGTCGCGGCGGAATCGGTCAAGGAAGAGACGCTCTTAGAAGATGACGTCGCGAGCGTGAGTGGTTTTCTGACCGAGGAGGTCCAGCACGATCCACGCCTTGTGCTCGTGACTGATGTCGAGGTGGATTCTTCAGCGTGCGTGGCTGGCGAACTCGCCGATGGTTGAGGTCGGCGGGCGGTATTGAACCATGCACCCCCATACCCGGAGCATGGAGGTATCCCCTTTGGTTCCACTCCATTTGACGTGCGGGGACAGGTTGCCGGTGATTGCGGTGGTTGAAAGCAGGTTGTGCACCCTCACGGCGTGGTGCATCGCGTAGGTCCAGTAGATTGGCGGCAATTTTGACTGCTTCCTCAGCTCGCGCACCTTCGTCATCAGTGTGCGGTTGGTCCGCTCGGCTACACCCCGCTGCTGGTGAGCGTAGGGGAGAGAAATATGGTGCTCGATCCCCTTCTGTGTCAGGAAGGTCTGCATCTGGTTGCTCCTGAATTCTGCCGCGCCGTCAGATTGCCAAATCTTGAGTTTCTTCCCAGATTGCCTCTCCGCATGCGCCAGCCAAAGCCGAAATACTTCGTATGCTCTGTCGCGCGCCTCCACATTCATGACCCACACGTAGCGCGTTCCTGTTAGAACATTATAGCTTACTTATTTGTGTAGGCTATAGTGGGGTATCCCATAGGGGGTACAACCCAATTAGGGTTTCCTATTTGTACTCACTTCGTTCATTGTCATTTCATTCTCGTTCAAATCTTCTCATGGTATCGAGCAGGTTCCCCTGTGGGAACTGCGCCTAGGGCCCACCACTTCGAGTTTTTTTTTTTTACTGCCCGAAGCGCACTCATCCCGAGTCGCGCTTCGGGCTATTCACTTACCGAGCCGCCCTAGCGGCCTTCTCTCCCCTAGCGGCCCTGCCGCCCTACGCTTCGCGGCCCTGCCCTAGTCGTCTTGCTCCGTGTCCGCGTCCTCCTGCGGTCCTAGGCACACACCACATGGCATTGCGTCCTTCCACTGCTCCTCTGCGTGTCCCGTTGCCGTCTCCTCCAGAGTCCTCTCTTCCTGTTCTTGCTGATCCGGAGTCTGACTCTCTTCGTGCTGCCAGTCCTACTGTCACGCGTCTCCTGGCTACTGTTGTCACTGACCCTTCCTTTGTGTCCACTGCTGCGTCGGCCCTAGTTGCTGAGCTTGTCGACTTTGCTGCTCGATGTCGTCTAGACTACGCTGCTAGTCTTGTTGCTAAGTCTGAGTCTGTCTGTGATCCGTTCGTCGGGGGTGAGTGTGCTCTTAGCACGGACGTCCTTGAGGACAGGCAAGAGGAGTTCCAGTGTTTTGCTGCTGCTTTGCCTCATCTCGTGTCCACGCTGATTGCCCCTGAGGGAGACCTGGATACACCAGACATCCCGACTCCTCGATCGTACACTGAGGCGATCGAGGGTCCCTAC